TAGCAGAAGAGGTCTGAGGACTAGCAGAAGAGGTCTGAGGTCTAGTTATAAAGGTCTGAGGACTAGTTTAAAGGTCTAGGACTAGTTTTAAAGGTCTAGGACTAGTTGTAAAGGCCTGAAGTCTAGTTTAAAAGCCCAAGGACTAGTTTAACGGTCGGCAGACTAGTTTTAAAGGTCTGGGACTAGTTTTAAAGGTCTGGGACTAGTTGTAAAGGTCTGAGGACTAGTTTTAAAGGTCTGGGACAAGTGATAGAGGTCTGAGGACTAGTTTTAAAGATCTGGGACTAGTTTTAAAGGTCCGAGGACTAGTTTTAAAGGTCTGGGACTAGTTTTAAAGGTCTGAGGACTAGTTACAGAGGTCTGGGACTAGTTTTAAAGGTCTAGGGACTAATTTAAAGGCCTGAAGACTAGTTTAAGGGTCCGAGGACTAGTTTTAAATGTCTAGGACTAACTTAAAGGCCTGAAGACTAGTTTTAAAGGTCTGGGACTAGTTTTAATGGTCTGCAGACTAGTTTAAAGGCCCAAGGACTAGTTTAAAAGCAAGAGGACTAGTTTAAAGGCCCGAGAACTAGTTTAAAAGCCCAAGGACTAGTTTAAAAGCCTGAGGACTAGTTTTAACGGTCTGCAGACTACTTGTAAAGGTCTGAGGACTAGTTTAAAGGCCGAGGACTAGTTTTAAGGCCTGAGGCCTAGTTTAAAGGTCTGAGGACTACTCTTAAACATCTGGGACTAGTTCTAAAGGTCTGGGACTAGTTACAGAGGTCTGAGGTCTAGTTTTAACGGTCTGCAAACTAGTTTTAAAGGTATTGGACTAGTTCTAAAGGCCCAAGGACTAGTTTAAAAGCCAGAGGACTAGTTTTAACGGTCTGCAGACTAGATTTAAAGGTCTGAGGACTAGTTTAAATGTCTGAGGACTAGATTTAAAGGTCTGGGACTAGTTACAGAGGTCTGAGGACTAGTTTTAAAGATCTGGGACTAGTTACAGACGTGTGAGGACTAGCAGAAGAGGTCTGAGGACTAGTTATAAAGATCTAGGACTAGCAGAAGAGGTCTGAGGACTAGTTGTAAAGATCTAGGACTAGTTACAGAGGTCTGAGGACTAGTTTTAAGGTCTGATGACTAGTTTTAAAGGTCTGGGACTAGTAACAGAGGTCTGAGGACTAGTTTTAAAGGTCTGGGACTAGTTACAGAGGTCTGAGGACTAGTTTTAAAGATCTGGGACTAGTTACAGACGTCTGAGGACTAGTTTTAAAGATCTGGGACTAGTTACAGACGTCTGAGGACTAGCAGAAGAGGTCTGAGGACTAGTTATAAAGATCTAGGACTAGCAGAAGAGGTCTGAGGACTAGTTGTAAAGATCTAGGACTAGTTACAGAGGTCTGAGGACTAGTTTAAAGGTCTGATGACTAGTTTAAAGGTCTGATGACTAGTTTTAAACATCTGGGACTAGTTACAGAGGTCTGAGGACTAGTTTTAAAGATCTGGGACTAGTTACAGAGGTCTGAGGACTAGCAGAAGAGGTCTGAGGACTAGTTGTAAAGATCTAGGACTAGTTACAGAGGTCTGAGGACTAGTTTAAAGGTCTGATGACTAGTTTTAAACATCTGGGACTAGTAACAGAGGTCTGAGGACTAGTTTTAAAGGTCTGGGACTAGTTACAGAGGTCTGAGGACTAGTTTTAAAGATCTGGGACTAGTTACAGAGGTCTGAGGACTAGTTTTAAAGATCTGGGACTAGTTACAGAGGTCTGAGGACTAGCAGAAGAGGTCTGAGGACTAGTTGTAAAGATCTAGGACTAGTTACAGAGGTCTGAGGACTAGTTTAAAGGTCTGATGACTAGTTTTAAACATCTGGGACTAGTTACAGAGGTCTGAGGACTAGTTTTAAAGATCTGGGACTAGTTACAGAGGTCTGAGGACTAGCAGAAGAGGTCTGAGGACTAGTTGTAAAGATCTAGGACTAGTTACAGAGGTCTGAGGACTAGTTTAAAGGTCTGATGACTAGTTTTAAACATCTGGGACTAGTAACAGAGGTCTGAGGACTAGTTTTAAAGGTCTGGGACTAGTTACAGAGGTCTGAGGACTAGTTTTAAAGATCTGGGACTAGTTACAGAGGTCTGAGGACTAGCAGAAGAGGTCTGAGGACTAGTTGTAAAGATCTAGGACTAGTTACAGAGGTCTGAGGACTAGTTTAAAGATCTGATGACTAGTTTTAAACATCTGGGACTAGTAACAGAGGTCTGAGGACTAGTTTTAAAGGTCTGGGACTAGTTACAGAGGTCTGACGAGTAGTTCTAAAGGTCTGACGAGTAGTTCTAAAGGTCTGGGACTAGTTACAGAGGTATGAGGAGGTTTGGTTAGTAACTATATTTTCAGTGAAAAGGAGCAGCTGTAAAACAATGTGATAATTAATAAGTGTGAGAAATGTGAATGTGCTGCTCACTAAGTGTTACATAAGAAGGAGTGTAGTAGTGAAGGAGTGAAGTAGTGAAGGAGTGAACGTGAACCTGAGTCTTTGCCTTTGGCCAGTTTACCAGCAGCTGTTGCCCCTGACAACAGCTGTCAGCACCACAGGAGACATATTTTTCATGCTTTTGGAGAACGACACAAAAAGACTTTGTTATGGTTATGGTTTCTGTGTCTGACTGTTCTACACACACACAACTTCAGCTGCAAAGAAACAAGCAGCTCAGCACATCTGAACTACAAACACACAAACAAACCTGAACCAATCAGAGAGCAGAGTGATGGATCCATGGATGGAAACGTCAGTGTGAACGTTGACGTCCAGAGTTCAGTGTGAACCATCTGGACCCTCAGTGTGTGTGTGTCCATATGTTCTGTCATGTAACTCAGTTAGTGTCTATCTCTCTTTCCCACTGAGAGAATCTGTCGCCTGTTTCCTGCTCGGCTCTCATTGGATGGCAGAGTTGGCTGCTGTCCAATCACAGAGACATAATTAATAAGAGAGAAAGGTGTGTGTGTGTGTATGGAAAGTCGCATAAATATTCATTATCAGAGGACACACACTCTGAGGACTGGTGGTGTTGTTTTGTTTACATGTTGTGGCATCATTTCTATTCATAAAAACAAAAGCAACACAGAGGGAAAGTCAGAACACAGCACTGCCATGGCTGAACCATGTTAGTAAACGTTAAGAATGAAAGAACACAAAAAAGACCAAAAGAGATGGGCGGACTAGTTACTGAGGTCTGGGCACTAGTTACTGAGGTCTGGGAACAAGTTGCTAAAGTCCGGGGACTAGTTACTGAGGTTAGGGAACTAGTTGCTAAGGTCTGGGGACTAGTTACTGAGGTCTGGGCACTAGTTACTGAGGTCTGGGAACAAGTTGCTAAGGTCCGGGGACTAGTTACAGAGGTCCAGGGACTAGTTACTGAGGTCTTGGCACTAGTTACTGAGGTCTGGGGACTAGTTACTGAGGTCAGGGAACTAGTTGCTAAAGTCCGGGGACTAGTTACTGAGGTTAGGGAACTAGTTGCTAAGGTCTGGGGACTAGTTACTGAGGTCTGGGCACTAGTTACTAAGGTCAGGGCACTAGTTGCTAAGGTGTGGGGACTAGTTTCTATAGTCTGGGCAAGAGCTCCTGAGATCATGGCAGTAGTTACTAAGGTCTGGGCAATAGTTGCTGAGGTCTGGGGACTAGTTACTATGGTCTGGGGACTAGTTACTGAGGCTAGGACACTAGTTACTAAGGTCTGGGCAATAGTTACTGAGGTCTGGGGACTAGTTACTATGGTCTGGGGACTAGTTACTATGGTCTGGGCACTAGTTACTGAGCTCTAGGGTCTAGTTACTGATGTCTGGGGTGTAGTTGCTAAGGTCTGGGCAACAGTTACTAAGGTCTAGGGACTACTTACTGAGGTCTGGGGACTAGTTAATGAGGTCTGGGTACTAGTTATTGCCGTCGGGGACTAGTTACTGAGGTCCGGGGACCAGTTACTGAGGTCCGGGGACCAGTTACTGAGGCCTGGGGACTAGTTACTGAGGCCTGGGGACTAGTTGCTAAGTTCTGGGGACTAGTTACTGAGGTCTGGGGACTAGTTACTGACGTCTGGGCACTAGTAACTGAGGTCTGAAGGACTAGTTACTGAGGTCTGGGCACTAGTTATTGACGTCTGGGGACTAGTTACTGAGGTCATGGCCATAGTTACTGAAGTCTGGGCAATAGTTACTAAGGTCTGGGGACAAGTTACTAAGGTCTGGGGACTAGTTTCTAAGGTCTGGGGACTAGTTACTATGGTCTGGGCACTAGTTACTGAGGTCTGGGTAATAGTTAGAAAGGTCTGGGCACTAGTTACTGAGGTGATGGCCATAGTTACTGAGGTCTGGGCAATAGTTACTAAGGTCTGGGGACTAGTTTCTATGGTCTGGTGACTAGTTTTCTAAGGTCTGGGGACTACTTACTATGGTCTGGGCACTAGTTACTGAGGTCTGGGGACTAGTTCCTAAGGTCTAGGGACTAGTTTCTAAGACCTGGACACGAGTTACTGAGGCCTGGACACTAGTTTGCTAAGGCCTGGACACTAGTTACTGAGGTCTGGGGACTAGTTGAAGATTTGTTTTATAATAGTTTAATTAATTTCATAGTTCATAGTCACACTGACCTTTAACAAACAAACCAAGAACAGTAAATGTGAATTTATAGACAGGTAACTCACTGATTGCAGTTTGGCGATGTCATTCTGCATCATCGACTCATCATGAGGACCCACATAGGAAAATCTGATAATCTGAAATAAAAGGAGTCCTCATGAATAAATAAAATGTGAAATGAAACTGTTTTCTACATCAATAAACGGATGTTCTGGTTATACATGTTACTTCAGGTAGACTACCTTCTGTCAGCATATGTATTATCACTTACAGCCACTAAACCATCAAGCATTACAAGCTTGCTCTGACCTTTTGTAATTTAAGATGCTGTGCAAACAAAAAAGCACAACTAACTAACTGCTGTGTGTGTGTTTTCTGTGTGTTCAGAGGAAGAGTAAAGTGCATTACCAGGTTGCTGTGATCATCAACTACCTGGGTCACTGTATCTCTCTGGGAGCTCTGCTGCTCGCCTTCATACTCTTCATGAGACTAAGGTAATCTACCTGTCATTAGATCAGTCTGTCTGTCTGTCTCGCTGACCGTTCCTCAGTCCTTTTATTCAATGTAAATTATTAAAGATAAAGCTTGTTAGTTTCTTAGCGTAGCTTGGTGGCAAAAATGACATAAGTGTCCAGTCTATTAACAATTATATCAGCACGATACAAATGAACTTCAATACAACTGGATGGTGACACACAGCTAATAAGATATGATCCCTCTGTCCAATCAGAGCTCAGCTCTGTCAGGACGCCTTTCTGCTGATCAACTGCACAAATGCGCATGTCAAAGTTCATAAAAGTTGAAGTCTATGCAGAACCTTTGTGTGGATTGATTTCATAATCTTTAGTCCTGAGGTGCTTTAGTCCTGATGTGCTTTAGTCCTGACGTACTTTAGTCCTGACGTACTTTAGTCCTGACATGCTTTAGTCCTGACACGCTTTAGTCCTGACGTGCTTTAGTCCTGACGTGCTTTAGTCCTGACATGCTTTAGTCCTGACACGCTTTAGTCCTGACGTACTTTAGTCCTGACGTACTTTAGTCCTGACATGCTTTAGTCCTGACGCGCTTTAGTCCTGACGTGCTTTAGTCCTGACGTACTTTAGTCCTGACACGCTTTAGTCCTGACACGCTTTAGTCCTGACGTGCTTTAGTCCTGACGTACTTTAGTCCTGACGTACTTTGGTCCTGACGTACTTTAGTCCTGATGTACTTCAGTCCTGACGTGCTTTAGTCCTGACGTACTTTAGTTTTTAGATGTTTTGGTCCCGATGTGCTTTAATCCTGACGTACTTTAGTCCTGACGTACCTTAGTCCTGACGTTCTTTAGTCCCGACATGCTTTAATCCTGACGTTCAATGACGGCTTCTCCACCCTGGTGTAGATGCTTCCTTGACACCTCTTTCAAACCATCCATCTTCTCTGTCTAAAATGTGCACCTGGTGGTCCTCAAACGAGTGTCCTCTGTCCTTCAGATGTAAGTAGACTGCAGAGTCTTGACCTGAGGAGTTGGCCCTTCTGTGTTGAGCCATGCGTTTGTGTAGTGGTTGTTTAGTCTCCCCAATATACAGGTCTGTGCATTCCTCACTGCATTGGACCGCATACACTAGATTGCTTTTCTTGTGTTTGGGTGTGCGGTCTTTGGGGTGTACTGTCATCTGTCTTAGGGTGTCCTGACGTACTTTAGTCCTGAGGTGCTTTAGTCCTGACGTACTTTAGTCTTGACATACTTTAGTTTTGAGATCCTTTAGACCTGACGTACTTTAGTCTGACATACTTTAGTCCGACCTACTTTAGTCCTGAAGTGCTTTAGTCTTGACCTGCTTTAGTCTTGAGATTTTTTAGTCCCAAAGTACTTTAGTACTAACGTACCTTAGTCCTGACGTGCTTCTATCCTGACGTACTTTTGTCCTGACGTCTTTTAGTCCTGATGTACTTTAGTCTTGACGTGCTTTAGTCCTGACGTGCTTTAGTCTGTTGTACTTTAGTCCTGACACGCTTCAATCTGATGTGCTTTAGTCCTGAGTTGACGTACTAAAATCCTGACGTGCTTTAGTCCTGACGTACTTTGGTCTGTTGTACTTTAGTCCTGACGCGCTTCAATCTGATGTGCTTTAGTCCTGAGTTGACGTACTAAAGTCCTGACGTGCTTTAGTCCTGACATGCTTTAGTGCTCATGTGCTTTAGCCCTGACGTACTTTAGTGTTGAGATGCTTTAGTCCCGATGCGCTTTAGTTCTGACATACTTTACTCCTGACGTACTTTAGTTTTGAGATGCTTTAGTCCTGACGTACTTTAGTCTGATGTACTTTAGTCCTGACATGCTTTAGTCCTGACATGCTTTAGTACTGACGTGCTTTAGTCTTGAGATTTTTTTTACTGACGTGCTTTAGCCCTGACGTACTTTAATCCTGACGTGCTTTAATCTGATGTACTTTAGTCCTGAAATGCTTTAGTTTGACGTATTTTATTCCTGACCTGCTTTAGTCCTGACATGCTTTAGTCCTGACGTACTTTAGTCCTGATGTACTTTAGTTCTGAGGTGCTTTAGTGGCAACGTGCTTTAGTCCTGAAGTACTTTAGTCTTGAGATGCTTTAGTCCTGACGTGCTTTAGTCCTGATATACTTTAGTCCTCATGTACTTTAGTCCTGAAGTGCTTTAGTCCTGATATACTTTAGTCCTGAGTTCCTTTAATCCTGAGGTGCTTTAGTCTGACGGCTTTTAGGCCTGATGTGCTTTAGTTCTGAAGTGCTTTAGCCCTGACGTGCTTTAGTCCTGATGTACTTTAGTCCCGATGTGCTTTAGTTTAGAGATGCTTTGGTCCTTACATGCTTTGGTCCTGACGTACTTTAGTCCTGACGTGCTTTAGTCTGATGTACTTTAGTCCTGACATACTTTAGTTTTGAGATGCTTTAGTCCTGACGTGCTTTTGTCTTTTGTACTTTAGTCCTGACATGCTTTAGTCCTGACGTACTTTAGTCCTGACCTGCTTTAGTCCTGACGTGCCTTGGTCCTGACGTGCTTTAGTCTGACATACTTTATTTCTGAGGTGCTTTTGTCTGACGTCTTTTAGTCCAGTTACCTGTATGTGTGTGTGTTACAGGTGTGGTCAGTTACCTGTATGTGTTTGTGTTACAGGTGTGGTCAGTTACCTGTGTGTGTGTGTGTGTGTTACAGGTGTGGTCAGTTACCTGTATGTGTGTGTTACAGGTGTGGTCAGTTACCTGTGTCTGTGTGTTACAGGTGTGGTCAGTTACCTGTGTGTGTGTGTTACAGGTGTGGTCAGTTACCTGTGTGTGTGTGTGTGTGTGTGTGTGTTACAGGTGTGGTCAGTTACCTGTGTGTGTGTGTTACAGGTTTGGTCAGTTACCTGTGTGTGTGTCTGTTACAGGTGTGGTCAGTTACCTGTGTGTGTGTGTGTGTGTGTGTGTTACAGGTGTGGTCAGTTACCTGTGTGTGTGTGTGTGTGTGTGTGTTACAGGTGTGGTCAGTTACCTGTGTGTGTGTGTGTGTGTGTGTGTGTGTGTGTGTGTGTGTGTTACAGGTGTGGTCAGTTACCTGTATGTGTGTGTTACAGGTGTGGTCAGTTACCTGTATGTGTGTGTGTTACAGGTTTGGTCAGTTACCTGTATGTGTGTGTGTTACAGGTGTGGTCAGTTACCTGTGTTTGTGTGTGTGTTACAGGTGTGGTCAGTTACCTGTATATGTGTGTGTGTTACAGGTGTGGTCAGTTACCTGTATGTGTGTGTGTGTCAGTTACCTGTATGTGTGTGTGTTACAGGTGTGGTCAGTTACCTGTATGTGTGTGTGTTACAGGTGTGGTCAGTTACCTGTATGTGTGTGTGTGTTACAGGTGTGGTCAGTTACCTGTATGTGTGTGTGTTACAGGTGTGGTCAGTTACCTGTATGTGTGTGTGTACAGGTGTGGTCAGTTACCTGTATGTGTGTGTTACAGGTGTGGTCAGTTACCTGTATGTGTGTGTGTTACAGGTGTGGTCAGTTACCTGTATGTGTGTGTGTTACAGGTGTGGTCAGTTACCTGTATGTGTGTGTTACAGGTGTGGTCAGTTACCTGTATGTGTGTGTTACAGGTTTGGTCAGTTACCTGTATGTGTGTGTGTTACAGGTGTGGTCAGTTACCTGTGTTTGTGTGTGTGTGTTACAGGTGTGGTCAGTTACCTGTATGTGTGTGTGTGTTACAGGTGTGGTCAGTTACCTGTATGTGTGTGTGTGGTCAGTTACCTGTATGTGTGTGTGTTACAGGTGTGGTCAGTTACCTGTATGTGTGTGTGTTACAGGTGTGGTCAGTTACCTGTATGTGTGTGTGTTACAGGTTTGGTCAGTTACCTGTATGTGTGTGTGTTACAGGTGTGGTCAGTTACCTGTGTTTGTGTGTGTGTGTTACAGGTGTGGTCAGTTACCTGTATGTGTGTGTGTGGTCAGTTACCTGTATGTGTGTGTGTGTTACAGGTGTGGTCAGTTACCTGTATGTGTGTGTGTTACAGGTGTGGTCAGTTACCTGTATGTGTGTGTGTTACAGGTGTGGTCAGTTACCTGTATGTGTGTGTGTTACAGGTGTGGTCAGTTACCTGTATGTGTGTGTGTTACAGGTGTGGTCAGTTACCTGTATGTGTGTGTGTGTGTGGTCAGTTACCTGTATGTGTGTGTTACAGGTGTGGTCAGTTACCTGTGTCTGTGTGTGTTACAGGTGTGGTCAGTTACCTGTGTCTGTGTGTTACAGGTGTGGTCAGTTACCTGTGTCTGTGTGTGTTACAGGTGTGGTCAGTTACCTGTATGTGTGTGTTACAGGTGTGGTCAGTTACCTGTGTGTGTGTGTTACAGGTGTGGTCAGTTACCTGTGTGTGTGTGTGTGTGTGTGTGTGTTACAGGTGTGGTCAGTTACCTGTGTGTGTGTGTTACAGGTTTGGTCAGTTACCTGTGTGTGTGTGTGTTACAGGTGTGGTCAGTTACCTGTGTGTGTGTGTGTGTGTGTGTGTGTTACAGGTGTGGTCAGTTACCTGTGTCTGTGTGTTACAGGTGTGGTCAGTTACCTGTATGTGTGTGTGTTACAGGTTTGGTCAGTTACCTGTATGTGTGTGTGTTACAGGTGTGGTCAGTTACCTGTGTTTGTGTGTGTGTTACAGGTGTGGTCAGTTACCTGTATGTGTGTGTGTTACAGGTGTGGTCAGTTACCTGTATGTGTGTGTGTTACAGGTGTGGTCAGTTACCTGTATGTGTGTGTGGTACAGGTTTGGTCAGTTACCTGTATGTGTGTGTGTACAGGTTTGGTCAGTTACCTGTATGTGTGTGTTACAGGTGTGGTCAGTTACCTGTGTTTGTGTGTGTGTGTTACAGGTGTGGTCAGTTACCTGTATGTGTGTGTGTTACAGGTGTGGTCAGTTACCTGTATGTGTGTGTGTGTTACAGGTGTGGTCAGTTACCTGTATGTGTGTGTGTTACAGGTGTGGTCAGTTACCCGTATGTGTGTGTGTTACA